GAGGCATGGACCGGGGACGGTTTTTCGGCTGTAAGTCCTAAACCGTTCAAATTAAATGGGTAGAGTAAGCGAGGCGATTGTAGGTCTCAGTCTAAGCTACAATCGGCTCGCTTAGTATACCCCTCTAACTGCAGCGGCCTAGGAGCTAGGACTAAAAAACCATCTCCCGCCGGCAGCCCCAGGCCCCATGGTCCATACTACAATCACAAAAATATAAAACAATCCAGTTGCTTTCAATAAAACTGCATAATTGCGTCTCGGTATTGCATAGTTTAATTGTTATCAGGACATAAGACCATAACAGTGGCTGCATAGCCTTTTCGATTTAGAAATCAAGAACCTATAGTAATTGACGTAACTTAATTTGTAATGCCTGGCTCAAAAGCTTTGGCAAGCGAGAAAACTGTGGGAACCTAATAAAATTGGCTTCAATTTAATAACTGTGCTTGAAAGCATAAAGTAGCATTATACTCAGATTTTTAGAAAAATTAAAAAATAAAGAATCATTGACGCTTCATGTGCCATCAGGCAATACTTGAAAAGCAAACGTAAAGTCACCTTCTGACTACATCTTTAATGATTTCAGTTTTAAGTCACGACTACTGCACTGATTTGTTTCAAAAGTCTTCATTTTGACTTAAGCTTTTAAACCAGGCATCATAAAGTAAATTCCGTCAAATATCATGACTACTCGATTTCTAAAACAATGTGCATTCCAGCAATTGTAATGACACCATTTCCTAAACATATTTTAGCTGAACAATATTCAACCACAATCATGCAATTTAATTAGAAATTAATGGATTGTATAATGTTTTTCTTTATCTCTAGAGAAAAGCATAGACAGGGGCTGGGGCCTGGGGCTGCCGGCGCGAGATGGTTTTTTAGTCCTAGCTCCTAGGCCGCTGCAGTTAGAGGGGTATACTAAGCGAGCGGATTGTAGCTTAGACTGAGACCTACAATCGCCTCGCTTACTCTACCCATTTAATTTGAACGGTTTAGGACTTACAGCCGAAAAACCGTCCCCGGTCCATGCCTCACAGTGGCCGGCAGAGGCGCCCAGCGGCCGGGGCAGAGCCATAACGACGCGAGCGCCGCGCGGTGGCGGCCGGAGCAAGCACCAACTGCCGCCGCGAAAGGTAGTTCGGTTTTCGTGCATAGCTGATCCTCCATACCATTCTGCTCCGTGGGCAACTTGTTGTTTTGTAAACAAACTCTTGGCTGCTGGTGTTTCCTATGCGAATTAGGCGCTAGTTTCCGCTACAATTTTGTATGATTTTTCTGCATTTTCGGTGAACGCAATAGTACTTGCTTTATGCTCCTCAACTAGTCTTTTCACCCGTTGTCTATTATCCATAAGTTCGATTTTGCCGTCAAATATGTTTTTCCGAAGTTCATGCTCGGCAATGTTACCGGTCACATTATTCGATTCATTCTGCTTTGTTTCTCTCTTATACTCCGTAATGCATTGTTTTGCTTTTTAATTGATGTGTTAAATTGTTACTGCATGCATGACTAGGCACTGACTTGCATGTCTCAAAACTTTGTCTTGTCTTCTACGTGCAACAGCATAATGCTTCAATCATAACCTAACCCATGCCTTACAATTAAAATCTTCCTTTTTTGTTTCAGGTGCTCAAAATGAGAGGAACCCACAGAACACTGTCTACTCAAAACTACATGAATCATCCGACCATTGCAGGATGGGCCCGTTGATTTGCTGTAGGCATAATCATGTGAGTACATACAGGATTCCGCTAAGTCAGATATAATCTGCTAGAAGTTTTATTCATATGTAATCACCTAACGAATGTCAAGTCAACTCGTAATCACATTACGAATGTCAACTGAACTTCTAGCTTTTGTAGTGATTGTCCAGACAATGTCCACTACAGGGCAAGCTTTAGTCTTAGGTCTTGCCAGATGCCATTTTGAAGAAAAATGTAGGAAGCTGTTTAATGTTTACTTTCCAAACAAGGACTGGTACCAAGTCAGTTTTATAATTGATTCAATACCCCAGGACTTATTTCATACAATGTCTTGCTTATACATGACTGTTTCTTTTAAACCGTTTTCCATATGGTTCCTTCTCTTTATTTCCAAGGCGGTCTCACATTTGGCGTTCTCTCATTTGATGCAAAGTTAACACTAAGACAAATGGGCTGGCTTTATTGTACTATTAAGCTGAGTTTTCCAAATCTTTGTTTCAGCTGCCTTAAAATTTTTTGTCTTCATGTTGCAGGGAACAGGTGCTTTGCAGAAAAACTGGCGCAGTGCCGAGTGGAGAGACTGCCAGCCCTAGCTGAACTGGACTAGCATTGATGTACTAATTTGGATTGAAGTGAGTATAATCAAAACGATTGTCTGTAGCTAAACTAATCTAAAATGAACATTTCAAACTCAAGTTTTGTTGTTCATTGCTTTGTTTCTTGTTACAGTGTGAACGATTTCACTTTTCCTCGAAGTTTTCTTTACTCTACGAGTAATTATTGTCATGCGAATCAATTGGCTGCCTGATAAAAAAATTTTCCATCAATATGGTTGAATACTGTGTTTGTTTCAATGAAAGAGTCCTTGCAAGGTAAGCTTTCAAAATTTCTTGGGACACATTTTTGAGACTGTTTCTTTTTTTACTTGCATTCTTTTTTGTTGTTTTCAGTGTGCTTCTCCAAACAACCATACTGGCAGTCAAAAGTATATTGTGACATCAGTTTGCACGTTTCAATTAACTGTATTGTTTTCTGTCTTCCTCCCCTTTGTTTTAATGTGGAGTATATTTGTACCCTTATTCCTGGTGGAAGAGTATAAGATTCTGCATGCTCTTTCACGAATCCACAGTCTAGGTGAGTCAAAGACACATTTGTAATTTTTATACCTATGGCCATGTTCTAGTCCTATCATATTTTTACAGTGATCTGCTCACTAGAAGAGATACCTTTGTGGGTAGTGTTGGCGTGGGCTACCAAGTTATTTAATTGGCTGCTCACTGGCTAGCCTGACCACATCTTGCCTGTCCTGGAGGTGTGACTGCTCAGCATACGTCATTGGTATGCTAATTTTATTTCTGTGATAGATTTGAGAGTAAACTCACTGTGACCTAGAGATCGCCTTTCTCTTGCAGGCTTATTTTTCTTGTGGTTACCAGTATTCTCCCCTCTTAATTCTAGGAATAAAATCTGCATATGCATCATGACCAGCACTTGAGATGAATGGGATTCTATCAACTTCTTGGTAAGTTAAATTTCATTTGAAACATTGTGTAGACCTGGTCTTCTGCCCTTTACTAATGTCTACTTTTTCCTGCCAGGAAACCTACAAGTCTTAATGCTGGTATGTTGAGTGTATCTTTGGTAACAATTCAATGGTACAATGCAGTTCTTAATTTAAGAAAATCAATCAAATAACCCATCAGCCAGAATATTATTCTCTACCCGCACATCTGTAAGGGAGGAACAGTTGCCTTTTGCTCAATCACTCAACTGTCACAATGGAGTAAGTTAATCAAATAGAGTGGTTGTCACTATTCATATTATTCAAGTAAATTACCATCACAATTTGTGATGAAACATTTAATTTACCAACCTTGTTGTTGATTTCATTCTTTCTTTTTACAGTCATCTTATTCTAAATCTAGTATATCTGGATTTTTCCTTAATTTGAGCAATACATTATTCTGTGCCGTCAATCGGACAAATAGATGGCTTTGTTTTAATTAAATGTGTTAGAATAAGACTAATTGTTTTTGTCTCTGTAAATCAGGTGTCATACGCATGGCCTTTTCAAAAATTATAAACAATCTTTTATTCTAAAGTCACAGGGCTGTATAAATGTGTGGCCACTTAAATGTTGTTTCATTTCATTTTTGCAGGGAAAACAATCACCGTTCCTCCAATTGTACGGATTGATGCTCCATATGAACGTGGCAGACTCTGGATCATCTTTGGCTAAAGATACATCCGATTCTAGTTCACATGTTTTTGTAGGTAAGCTCACCACAGCACTTTTGCTTGCCTTCTTACCCCAAAACCATTTCTGCTTTTATTATTTTGCTGTTCATTAGATAGCAATCAAATTAAATCAAGTTGCAATTTCTTGTGCATGACTGTTACTTATTTTTGTTCTTTTTTTTTTTTTGGTAACTTACCCTAACAACATTGAAAACAAATTTAAAAAAGTCAATGCTGGTGTGTCAAATGTTTGGCTGTTGTGAGTGGTGTGAGTTTCTTTTATTGCAGGTATGATAATATCTTATGGATCTTGTTACCCAGCCACACAAGATATCAGCCCAGCGTAAAGGTGGACTCAACGATTACACAGTGTCATCAGTGATGTAACAGCAATTTTGGAATAGGTGCCAACATCATCACTTCCGTATTTGAATTATGTAAGTATTTCATTTGCCTCATCAAAAAATGTGCATTATCTTAGAGTGCTTGGGACTGAAATGTGAGAGATTGGATACAGTCGTAGCAGTGGTGCTGGTGGAAGGTGCTCTCCACCGTATCACTTTCTCTGACTCTAGTCTCTTTTGTTGAAGTTTAGGCTGGTAGATTTGAATTTGTGCCACCCATTGTGTTAATCTCTCTTATTTTGTGTGTGATTTTAGGTGTGAGTACCTTAGCCTTCCCAAGGCCTCAGGGTTGAGTCATGAGGATTGACTTTTGGAAAGAATTAAGTTTCAACAAAGTGTTGCAGTAGAGCAGGTATAATTGGCTTAGCATGTAAGTATTTTTTGGCAAGAACCCTATCTTTATCAAGTTTATTTCAATGCACCACTTTTTTACTAAATCTTTTTCGTTTTGTTTTTGCCCCTTGTTTTATTACCAAGTTATGGTTGTTCCTGTGCTGATCATTTTCTTTTTGCTTTCTTTAAGGATGTGGGCTTTTAGCTGATGAACTGGAGTATGTTTGATGTGTAGTGGTTGCTGCCCAGAGAGAAGGCTGTGTGGATGGCAGATGATGAAGTGTGATGGTGCCATGAAAGGTGTGAATATAGGCTCTCACTCAGTTCTCTGCACAAAGTTTATTTGTATGATTTACAAGAATCTATATTATTACAATCAATTCAAAATTTATAATATTTGAATAATAATTATCAATTGAATTTTGATTAACATACAATCTAAAACATAGAAGATACAACTTAAGAACTCATAACAAGTTTATTGACTTATTTATTACTTCACCAAACTCTTCTAAGCTTGCTATCAATTTTTTTACTGCTTCAGATATAACTATAAGTTGTCTTCCTTTCTTCTTGCATTTGGTGTCAAGCACACCCATATCAAAAACATACCTGTAAAAATTATTGAGTGGATTGAAATAATGGTTTGCTAATGGGGAGTAATTGCTGTGTGTCATCATGCAACCTTACCGCTCAAAAAATTCCATGGTGAGTGGCAGCATAGGTGGATATTCAAGATCGAACACAAAGCACACTTCCACTAGTGCTATAAAAGCATCCTTTGGGTTGCTGACTTCTACCAATGGTACTTGATCAGCGCAAACAAAATACTTTTGTGCGGCATATATGTTGCTATCTGTTAACATAAAGGAATTGAACTTGAAGAATTGCATGACTTTGTTTAAAACCTGCTACGTGCTGTTGTATGTATTAAGGCTGAAAATAATTACCCAAGGCCACTACACATGGATCTTTCTTTTCCTCCAGAATTGTGTGAGGAAGTTCTGCTGGCTGACATGTTCTCTGTAAGAGGAAATACAAGGTAACATACTCTCCTTTTTGCTTGTTTTAAATCACATTTGTGAGGTATTATATTTGTCATGACTCACCTCAGCAGGAAGGTAGAGCTGATCAAAGCTCTCCCCGAAATGATTTGCAACCATGTGGATGAAGGAAATAAGTTTGAGATCAGTGGGAATTGCGTCATACTTAAGTTCCAATTTCATCCGGATGATAAAGTTGTCCACGTTGCACTTGGTGGAAGTCGTCATAAAAGCAAGAGATATATCCATTAATTCATCTATGAATGTCTTCATCTTTTGGGCCAAGTCTCTTTTGGTGAGTGTTCTATGATGAACTTCTAAACATTGCATTTCGAATAAAAAAGGCCACTCTTCCTTTAGCTTTGTGAGCAATTTCTGCTCATGCAGGTCGTCATCCGGGTCATCAGCTTGTTTTGTCATTTTAACTGTACCAAGTACAATTTGCTCCCTCTGTAGTTCATAAGTTTCTTTCATATTTTTAATTATGAGAGGCCAGTCTATTTCATCAGTCTCTAATAATTTGATGTTGGCCAGGTGTTCCTTAATGCCCTGTTGAACTTCTTTTGAGGCACTGGTCATAATTGGTTGATACGAATCAGGGTCGACTCCCACGACCTTCTTCCCTTTAGTAACATGTGACTTGGGAACAATATTGCTTCCTTTCATCAGGTTTTCAATACATACTTCAAATGACCGACAGAAATTTGAGGTTCCAGACTTCATTACTACGTTTTTAATTATGGTTTTGACAGAATCTCCAAATTTTTCTTCAACCTAAAGAAAGAAAAGAGACTTAAACGTGAATACTTCAGTTGAATAATTGTAATAATCCAAAATTTACTGTTGAATCTCACCTGCTCTGTCACCTTTGCATAAATTTTGCGGCCAGGAAATTTCTGTAACCCAGGATAAATCGCTTTGTGGCCTTCATACTGGGCTTTAAGCTTCTTAGCAATGGCTAGTTTGAGAGCCTCTAAATCTTTTGGGTTAGCCTTTACTTTGTCTTCCTTTGCTTTACGTAGATTGTCTACTGTTTCCTTTGGCATTTGTGCCCAAGGCACATTAAAAGTGAACACCGAATGGTCTGGGATTACATTCTCAATGCTTCTGAAAATGTATGAGGCAGTTGAGGTTGACGGATTTTCTGTGACATTGCTTATGGTATGAATTTGACCTGAGGAGGTTGACGGAACATCTGTGGTGTCAGTTGATTTATCTGTTAAAAAGAAATAGGGTTACTCCTGTGTCTAGTGCCCAGTACACTGGTCATACAGTGGCGTCACTCACCTGAGGCACACTTAGCAAAAGCTTCCAACAATGGTTTCCTTTTGATGAAGGGTATTTTCACACTCTGAGGAAGAATATCAAGTGTCACTTCTGACAATTCGGACAATTGTGTGACGCCAATTTCGTCCGAAATCAAATGATTAACTATCAAATTTATGTCCTCATCACTGTTGTTCAGAACACCTCTGATGAGGGAGTAAATCTTGTGAACCAACTGGAAGAAAGACAGTTATTACTTAAATTTGTTGTCAGAGTCAAGCAAACACCTTCTGGATGTGTAACTCACACTCATTTTTTCGAAATTGATCAACAAGTAGACTGAAACTTGAATTTTGAAAGCAAATTTGAACACCTTTCTTCGGTTGCGGGCACGGAAACAGCCGTTAATGGAAAAGGATAGCCAACTGTAAGAAAATATGGGACCGAATCGTTTGTGTTCGGAACCTGCCCAACTAGTGTAGGAGAGAATAAAACCATAAAAACTAGCGGCCCGGTTGTATTTCAACAATATTAACATCATTAATTTTGGTATTTATTTCATGTTTCAGATCTCATTCGGTTTTTCCCTGTCGCTTCCTGTCGATTCTGCCAACCTCACTGCGCGCGCGAGTTTTGGGCGACTTCAGCGCCATCTAGCGGCGGCTCCGCAAAGCTGGCATGCATGGCAACGCTGAATCGTGTAGTGCCGATTTCTCCTGCCTGTTGTCGGCGTGCGAGTTCACCGGTAAGTAGTTTCCGATGTGTACCTCAAAAATTAAAGTAACTGGGATTTCATTTAATGTTTATCTTTGTCTGTCGTATGTACATAGGTTTCAAAGTTGTCTTCTGTTTGGAAATTTTCGTCTAACTTCTGAACTACTTCCCCATTCGTAAGTGGACCCTAACCGTTTCCCTATGGCGATGCCACACCAACTTTGGTCGTAAGCCGTAATGGTTGTGTTTAATTTGGCGTTTTTCTCTTTGTTTCAGATAATGGGTACCACCATTGAAGTGTATCGTCAGCGAATTGGGTGCTACAACTGCCGTGGCCCCAAGGCCGTGCTACGCAAGAATCCCACCTGTCCCACCTCATCTACCTGCTTTCTTTCGCCCAAGTTTGCTCTAGTAATAGCTATGCTATTGCTTATTGCTGGTGTCGAGCCTAACCCTGGTCCTGAGCAGTTGTGCAAATATTGCAACATGTCATTTCAAGATATTGGACTCTTTTGTGATCATTCTAAAATTCATCAATCTTCCAAGAACTTTTCCATATTGTGTGGTTTTCCCAATTGTGCCGCTCGACTCTCATCTGTAGCATCTTACAGAACCCATGTTAGCAGGTCGCATGTTTCTAAAGCCATGCCAAAGGAGCCACCCATTTCAACTTCAACAAGCCTTCCTTGTCCGGTCTCTACGTGCACTGTAAGAATAACATCAAGACAGCATTATTCCAAGCACATGGTTGATGAGCACCTGAAGAAAGGTTATTCGTTCATATGTATTTTCGAAGGATGTGAAACTAAAATGAACTTCATCAGCCAGTTCCGAACTCATCTCTCCAGGTATCACCGTGATGTTGAAGTTGTTTATGTTGCACCTGAGTCTCATGAAAGTGACACTGTTATCAATGAATTTGATGATACTAGTCATGAAAATGATATGGTCTCTGATGATGACATTTCTCACACGTGTAATATGGATGAAGAAACTGATCTATATCCTGACTCATTGATAAAAGAATCAGTGGCCAAGTTTTATCTGAAGCTTGAGGCAATCCATGTTTTAGCTTCTTCCACAGTTCAGGCTATAGCTGATGAAGTTAAAGTTTTGACTGAGCTGAGCCACTATCGTCTGAAAAAAGCAGCTCTTGAAGAGCTCAAAAAGACCAACCTCGAGAAGGAGGTAATAGCCTCTATTGTGGAGAGAGCTTTCAAAGAAGACACTGTATTTAATGTTCACCATAAGCATGAGGATGTAGAACAGCTTGGAACACACTGGTCACGCACGCAATTCTGGCGGAAGTATTTTCCTTTTGTTGAAGTGGAGGAAATAAATCAAGGATCATCGGATACAGGCAAAAGCAGTAAGGCCCACTATGTTTCTATTCGCCAGTCATTGGAAATTCTCCTTAAGGATCCTAAAGTTAAAGCAGCTGTACTTCAATCATTTGACTATAAGAGCTCTGATGACCAAATCTTATCTGACTATATGGATGGCACAGCTTACAAAGAACACCTGAAACAACATGGTGGCAATCCTTGTCTACAGGTATTTTTGTTCCAAGATGCTTTCGATTTTAACCCCTTTGGACCATCCTCAGGTGTTTACAAACCTGTTGGGTTTTATTTCTCTTTAGGCAACCTTCCTGCAGTGTACAGGTCTAAGGTTGATCTTATTCAGTTAGTTTACATGATCTTGGAAAATGATTTCAAACCTACGGAAAAGGAAGAACTGGAAGATTTTGACAAAGTGAAACATGCCCTAAAACCCTTGCTTGATGAATTAAGAGACCTCAAGACAAATGGTATTGAAATCGATGGTAAAAAAATTCCTGTATGTTTGATGTTTCTTCTTGGCGATTCCCTTGGTCAAAACACTATTGGTGGTTATGTCAAGAATTTTTCATCTTCTCAATATTCGTGTCGCTTTTGCCCAATGTCAAGAGATGATTTTAAAACTGTGCCCTTTGAAACGAAACCTCTGAGGACTGTAAATGAGTACAATCATGATGTGACTGTTGCTAAGAGGAAGTGGTGCAAACTCCGTTCAGAAGGTCTCAAAGCCAGGAAGAAAGCTAAGCAACAGGCTAAGAAAAGAGCTCAGAAGCTAGCCAACCGTTCATCAGCCCCTTCAAAGAAAGACCTGAAAGGATTGATCAGCAAGACTGCTTACCTGAAAATGTGCAGATCAAGTTTTCGAGGTGTGAAGTATCGGCCATCTGCTTTCAACTCCAATGACTTAGGGTTTCATGTTGTTGGACACCAACCACCTTGTCTTGCGCATGATCTTTTCGAAGGAATTGTGAAAAGTGTTGTTGCCCATGTGTTAAAATACTTTATTGAGACCAAAGGGTGGTTTGATCTAGCATGTCTGAACAGGCGCATAAAAAGTTTTAAATGCAAAGGTGCTGATGCCAAGGATGCCCCTGCCAAAATGAAGACTCTGGACAAGTTGGGTGGCAACGCTGTTCAAAATTGGAATTTGCTGCGATTTCTCCCATTAATGATTTTTGATCTGATTGAAGACCCTGATGACCCTATGTGGCAGCTTTTCCTACTCCTGAAACAAATTGTTGAGTTTGTCTGTGCACCCAGAATCACTCTCCGTCAGCTGTCTTATCTACAGTACATTATTGAGCTTTACTTGGCCAAACTGAAGGACTTACTACCTAGTTTGCTCACAGAAAAAAATCATTATTTAGCCCACTATCCTGAATTGACGATGATATTTGGCCCTTTGATAAGACTTTTTACCCTTAGGTTTGAGAGTAAACACTCTTTCTTCAAGACTGTCATGAGAGCTTGCAAGAGTTTCAAAAATGTTACATATACCATGGCCAATAAGTATGTTTGCAGGTTTGCATACGATCATGGATCAGCAGATCTCCTGCCACTTGATATTGTGTATAACAGTAATTTTACTGTTGGTGTAAATCCAGACCTGCTTACTGATCCTGTGAAGAAAGAGTTTCCTAAGGATTATGACTGGTCGGATGTAGAGGAATTACCAAGAGTTTTTATCAATGGAATTGATTACAGCCGTGGGTTTATTTTTGTTCTTGGAAGTGAAGGCACAAATCTCAAAGTTGGTTGCATTGAGAAGATTTTTTTGCAACGATCAAACAGTACAGTGCAGTTCCTCCTTCAAGAAAAACTGGCTGAAAACACCTTTAATGGATTCTACATTGTTAAGAAAAGGAGCAACTCTTTTGGAGTTGCTACTCTATCTCAGCTTCCTGATTACTATGCTCTACCAACTTATGAATTTGGAGGGGATGAATGTTTGGTTCTAAAACATACAGTCACCACCATGGAGTGAAAAAAAATGCGTGTAAGAAGAGTAACAATGTAAATAAGAGTTTTTTTTAAAAAAAGGTGTCTCCTGTTTATTTCCAAGTAAGTTCCAATAATGATCTGTTGTGAAACATTTAATTCATCAAATTTGTTACTGATTGCTTTCTTCTTTGTTGCAGTGTGTGGTGTTTCATTTTTCATCCACAATATCATTACTTTTCTCTTATCTTAAGTAATGAATATGTTCAGACCTCAATCAACTCTGGATCAACTCACTATTCATTAACTCCACAATTTTTATTTATTTTTTTTCCTTCATTAATATTGTGCACAAAAATTGATACCATGAATGATTATTAGCTTGCCAGGTAAGTTTCCTTAGACTTATTAAACATTTCAAACTTCAGTTTTGTTGTTGATTTTATTTTTTTCTTGTTACAGTGTGTGTTTTATCAAGTATATTGTTACTCTTTTTATGTGTAATGCCTTGCCCTCAATCAGACAGCCTGATTGACACAATGCAGGCAGATATATACCTCTTAATGTTTTTACCTTCATTAAAATGTTTGAATCCTTTTACTGTATCCATGAGAGTGCGCTTGCCAGGTGAGCTATCATAATTTCTTGTGAAACATTCTAAAAACTATTTTTTTGTATTAGTTGAATTCTTTCTTGTTGTTTTCAGTGTGCTCCTTCAATCAGTGATCCAAATTTTCTGGTTGTCATCAGCACAACAATTTCAATTTATTTTATCTATTAAGATGTTTGTATACAACAACTTTCCAACAACTTTGCCAGGTAAGTTACCATAAACTTGAATGAACATTTCAAACAGTAGTTTTGTTGTTAATTGTGTTCTTTCTTGTTACAGTGTGGGGTGTTATCTCTGCTCCTTATACATGTTCTCTATCGTTGCCATGGTCTTAATCAGACTCCACACAACTCAGGCTTAATTGGCTCCTTGATTTGAATGATTTTGTTTTACTTCCTTCATTACTGTTCCCCTGAGAGAGTGCTTGCAAGGTATGTTATCCTAATTTGTTGGAAACGATTCCAAAAACTTTTTTCAGCCAATGTGAGTCATTAGGTGAGCAAGGTGAGCCAATAATGTGGCCTAATCTTTACCTTTTTGATACAGGTCTTTTCTTTCTTCTTCTCGTGGTAACCAGTATTCTGCGTTTTTAATTTAAGAAGTTTTTTTCTTCTTGTGCATCATGATCAGCACCAAGAGATGCATTGGATTGGTGGTATCAATTTTCATGGTAACTAAAATTTCATTACAAACATTTTTAGGTTTTGTCTTTTGGTCTTTATCGTTTCTTTTTTTCCTGGCAGTCTGGCACAAGTCTCTAAGTTGGCTCTATTGAAAATGAGTTTTGCAACGATTCTACTGTACTATGCAGTTCTTCATTAAAGAAAATCAAGCGGGTGAATTTGGAGCCTAGTGCTGAAACACTCAGTTATCGCATTGGAGTGAGTATGACAAAAAGTTTGGTTGTCACCTGTTCATTTCCAAGTAAGTTTCCATGTTAATCTGTGATAAAATATTTTAATCCTCAGCTTTGTTGTTGATTGCAAATTTGAGCCATAAATTATGCTGTCTTCTCTATCAGTCCATGAGCTCTGAAACAGAGCGAGATCAATTCACTAGTTGTCATCGGCTCTACAATTTCGATTTATTTAATTACGATGTTGGTATACAAAAACTCTTTCCATACAATGTTATGAGTTTGCCAGGTAAGTTACCATAAACTTGAATGAACATTTCAAACAGTAGTTTTGTTTTTAATTGTGTTCTTTCTTGTTACAGTGTGGGGTGTTCCATCTTTCGTCAGAGGTATCTCTGCTCCATATATGTGTTCTCTATCGTTGCCATGGTCTTAATCAGACTCCACACAACTCAGGCTTAATTGGCTCCTTGATTTGAATGATTTGTTTCATTTCCTTTATTACTGTTCCCCTGAGAGAGTGCTTGCAAGGTATGTTATCCTAATTTGTTGGAAACAATTCCAAAAACTTTTTTTTAGCCAATGTGAGCCATTAGGTGAGCAAGGTGAGCCAATGATGTGGCCTAATTTTTACCTTTTTGATACAGGTCTTTTCTTTCTTCTTCTCGTGGTAACCAGTATTCTGCGTTTTTAATTCAAGAAGTTTTTTTCTTCTTGTGATTGATTCTATGAATGATTATTAGCTTGCCAGGTAAGTTTCCATAAACTTATTAAACATTTCAAACTTCAGTTTTGTTGTTGATTTTATTTTTTTCTTGTTACAGTGTGTGTTTTATCAAGTACCGTGAAACGGGGTAACTTCGGACACTTTTGATAGGTTTTTTTGAAATTATGAAAGTTGTGGTGATGTCATGGACTTGAGGGTTAAAATTTATCATCTACCCACCTTTAGCTTCGTTTTGGCGCTTATTTCAATTATCTGCACCTCACCGTTTTTACAGTGGAGGGTCCGAAGCAGTGTCCGAAATTACCCCGTGTTTTGGGGTAATTTCGGACACCCCTGGAAAAAACGACTTTTCGTTCTGATTTTGGTCCCAAAATCGATCACTGTCTCTTTCTAAAGTGCCAATATGATTATACGAGAAATTCGTAAGGGTTGAGATGTAAAGGTAAGGTAGGGGTGGTCATACATAACTTGAAGTCATATTTTTGCACTCATATGTAGTTCGATTTCAGGAATAGTGGGTGGAACTAGCAGAGCCATTTAGAACGCTTCTATTTTTTTAATTTTTGACCGATGATTAGCTTTCATAGGCAACTCGGGCCATACTTTATTACGCGAAAGTGAATCTTAAATCTTCCTCTACAAGATTACATACGATAACATACATGCATATGAAAGGCAAGTAGTCGTGTCGTATGTACGGTTAGAAAGATACAGGGGCTCAGTGGAAAGCTTTGCATTTCAATTGTAGTGAACCGGCGAGCTATGCAGCCATTCGCCAAGGGCAACTCTCATGTCACATGAAAGAAAATTAATCGCAAAACAGTCGTTGACACTAAGGTAGGACATGCACATAAAACTAAGTATGAAAGATGTAGCTTTGCCCCATTGTTATGAAATTGGAAGTTTACAAAGCAACCGCTGTAACAATTGGGGATTATCGTTGTTATTGGATTCTCTTCAACTTTCAGAAGAGCTCTTCAGCTTCCACCACTCAAACCTTGCAAAATTGAAAGTGTTCAGGCATACCCCCTCTCCCTGGCGTGACGTTTGTATGTCCGAAATTACCCCGTAAAGTAACATTTTTTCAGTTTTGAGGCCATAGAAACCATACTATTTGACCCAGGTGATTGAAAATTTGACACAGTATGCTCTTAACATGATCGAATCGACAAACAATCACCTCATGAACCGGCCATGGACAGTTTCGGCTTGCCAGTCAAAGTTTTTACGCATAAAGCAAATTTAGGTAAAAATGGTTGAATACAAAAACCACTATTTCTCCTGAAGTTTGCCCCTAATTTGGCCTCCGGGTGATTGATCAGATAGTTTTTAGTGTGGCCGATGCGATGCGCGCAACGGGACAAGCCTCCAAGTTGGCCGTTAGATGGGAGCATCATTGCAATGCTTCCGGGCAGAGTTGTCCGAAATTACACCGAGTGTCCGAAATTACCCCGTTTCACGGTATATTGTTACTCTTTTTATGTGTAATGCCTTGGCCTCAATCAGACAGCCTGATTGACACAATGCAGGCAGATATATACCTCTTAATGTTTTTACCTTCATTAAAATGTTTGAATCCTTTTACTGTATCCATGAGAGTGCGCTTGCCAGGTGAGCTATCATAGTTTCTTGTGAAACATTCTAAAAACTATTTTTTGTATTAGTTGAATTCTTTCTTGTTGTTTTCAGTGTGCTCCTTCAATCAGTGATCCAAATTTTCTGGTTGTCATCAGCACAACAATTTCAATTTATTTTATCTATTAAGATGTTTGTATACAACAACTTTCCAACAACTTTGCCAGGTAAGTTACCATAAACTTGAATGAACATTTCAAACAGTAGTTTTGTTGTTAATTGTGTTCTTTCTTGTTACAGTGTGGGGTGTTATCTCTGCTCCTTATACATGTTCTCTATCGTTGCCATGGTCTTAATCAGACTCCACACAACTCAGGCTTAATTGGCTCCTTGATTTGAATGATTTTGTTTTACTTCCTTCATTACTGTTCCCCTGAGAGAGTGCTTGCAAGGTATGTTATCCTAATTTGTTGGAAACGATTCCAAAAACTTTTTTCAGCCAATGTGAGTCATTAGGTGAGCAAGGTGAGCCAATAATGTGGCCTAATCTTTACCTTTTTGATACAGGTCTTTTCTTTCTTCTTCTCGTGGTAACCAGTATTCTGCGTTTTTAATTTAAGAAGTTTTTTTCTTCTTGTGCATCATGATCAGCACCAAGAGATGCATTGGATTGGTGGTATCAATTTTCATGGTAACTAAAATTTCATTACAAACATTTTTAGGTTTTGTCTTTTGGTCTTTATCGTTTCTTTTTTTCCTGGCAGTCTGGCACAAGTCTCTAAGTTGGCTCTATTGAAAATGAGTTTTGCAACGATTCTACTGTACTATGCAGTTCTTCATTAAAGAAAATCAAGCGGGTGAATTTGGAGCCTAGTGCTGAAACACTCAGTTATCGCATTGGAGTGAGTATGACAAAAAGTTTGGTTGTCACCTGTTCATTTCCAAGTAAGTTTCCATGTTAATCTGTGATAAAATATTTTAGTCCTCAGCTTCCCTTTAATGAATTCAAGGATCAAGATTGTCTATTCCGTTATTTGCCATATACTGTAAGACTCAATTGGATAGGCACATTATAATACTCAAAATCATTTTGACTGTCTTACTTTTTGCTAAGTCCTGTCCATGTGTTGCTGGCATTGTAATTGGGACTTGAAGAATTTGTACTCAGGTATCAGTCATGTAAAATACTTCCCCCCCCTAAGTTAATGGTGTGTTGGTTACAAATTTGTTTCATTCTGCTAACTTTGTTTTTTTTTTTTTGGTTTGTAGGTCAAGAAGTGAGACAACTTTTTTCGGAATACGGTTCTCCTTTAGTTCCATTGCCACTGGCAGCCAGCCGTGAACAATTTGTTGCAAACTTTGGGCTTCATTGTCTGTCATTATCCCTTGATGTATTATGTCATTAAGCACCCTTGAGATTCAGCAAGTCTTTTATGAATCTTCTGTTTAGGTGAGTTTATCTGCCAAATGGATTATTGATACACAGGTCCATATTTTAATCTTTTCTTTAATGTTTCTCTTGACCAGCCTCGCTGTGACCTGGTCACTAAAAAAATTTCTTCTGTAGCCTTACATTATAAAGTCAATGATCTTTATGGATGCTCTGTGGGTTGACGAGTAATTTAATTGGCTATGTAGAAGGCTGCCAAGTGGTCAGTCTGACCACAACACGGCTCTGCTGGAGGTGGGACTGCTCTGTTATCATTGGTACGCTACAATTATTATTAAAGTTAACATTAACTTCACTGTGACCTAATTTTTATCTTATTGTTGCAGTTCTTTTTTTCTTTCTCTTGCGGTTACGAGCATTCTGCATTTCTAACTCAAGAAATCAAATCGCCCTGTCAGCGAAGGCACAAATTTGAAAGTTGGTGTTATTGAGATGATTTTTATTAACAGTCCAAAAGCTCAGTGCAGTTTTCTATTCAAGTGAATCTGGCAGAAAGCACCGTTAGTGTATTGTACATTCTTTGTAGTTTTTTCATCACAATGGAATAAAAATCAATCAAGTGGATGTCAGCTTATTTCCAAGTACGTTACTATTGTAGCCTGGTGTGAAACATTTCTTCTTGTTGTTAATTGCCATCTCTCTTTTTACAGTGTATGGTGTTTCTATTTTTTATCAAGGATATCATTATTCTTGCTACAATCTGTGTAATAAATGGCTTGGCCTCAATCAGATAATCAGTCATGACAACAGAGTGACATTGATTCATTGGTTGTCATTGACTCTACAACTTCAATCATTTTTCCCTTATTACAATGTTAGTGCACAACAACTGTTTCCATTAGAGGTGATGAGCTTGCCAGGTAAGCTACTTACTAACATCTGTGTTAAAACCTTTTAAACATCAATTTTGTTCTTGATTGCATTCTTTCTTTTTACAGTGTGTGTGGTTTCATTTTTCATCAAGACTTGGCATCAGTCAGCAGAAGAAAAGCAGATTAATTGGCTCTACAATTTCATTCTTCCCTTTATTAAGTTAATTGAATGCAATAACCGTTTCCTTAAGTGACTGCTTGCCAGGTAATTTACCATAATTTGTTGTGAAACAATCCTAAAATCTGTTCTGTTGTTAGTTGCATTTTTACAAAATGTTTTCAGTGCCTAGATTTTTTGTTTTTTTTTTTTTTTTTGCAGCAAGGATCTTTTAACTTTTGCCAAACAATATACAAAAAATCAGACAATCAATCTGTCATTACAATATATAGAGATCAGTTCACATGTTGTAATCAGCTCTGCCATTTGAGTGTCTTCCCTTCATTTCAATGTCTGGCTTGGTCTGAAATGCGTCGTACCCTACCTAGATGGAGGCTTCAATATTTTGCAAGATTCTCATGAATCATTTGTCAAGGTGAGTTAATGAATGTGCCCTAAGCTGGCTTCAGTTTTCAATAAAACTGTTTTGTTGCTTTTGCCTTCAAACTTTCATGTGGTTTTCTCTCTTTAGGTGTGAAAGTTCTTGTATGGTTCAACAAGTAATGAAGCCAGCAATCTTTTTGGATGCTCTGTGGTTTAACACATAGTTGAAGCTTCCAAGTGGCTTGCCTGGTGTGGTGATACCTTTGTTCTGCTGGAATGTGGACTGCCTAGTTTTTAAATTTATTTTCTTGTGGTCCCCTGTATTCTGCAGTTGAGACAAGAAATTCAAATCTCCGTGTGCATTATCATTATGACTATCACCAGAAGCTGTATTAGATTTTATCTATTTTCTAATATGTCAATTTTTTGTAGAAACTTTTTGTACGTTTTGTCTTTTTATTTTGATCTGGTTTCCTCCATTTAGGTGTCCCAGTTCTTTCGGGTTTAATGAGAATCAAACCAGTCCCCAAGGTGAGAGCATCCCTTCAATATCATTTCTTCAATTGGTCCTGTATTCTTGCTGATTAACTGTAGTGGTAAGTTGACATTATTCCATGGGTCTTATAGCTAATCTGTCCTTAACTTTTATTATTTAATTTTTTTTTACTGTTGTCTGAATTTTAGTAAAGCAGAAGACCGACAAATTAGACAAGTTTGAGAGAGTGAAGATGGCTGGCTGGCTGGCTGGCTGGCTACCTGGCTAGGGAGGCGGGCAAGAAGGCAGGCTCGCCAGCATTAAAGCAGTCCTGTGGACACACACACTTAGATGCAGGAGAGGCAAGAGACAGCCAAGCAAGAAGCAAATATTATCATACATGATACAAACGAAACAAAAATGTTCTAGTCAAAGCATTGTGCCATTGTAGGAGATGCTCTCAAGGTAGTTTTTTTTTTTAAATTATCTTATTTTGCTGACTAAACTAGTTAATGTTATTAGTGCAACAACAATGCTACAAATTTTTTTTTAATCTTTACAGGATGATCTGCATTTTTTAAATAATTGCCTCTGGTATCATTGGAGAAAGGTTGCTTTGCAGGTTGCTTGGCAAGGCGCAAGCAAACATCCATGTATGGCAGTAGCCATATTAAGTCCAAAGGGTCAGGATTGTCATGTTTTGAGACACTTCCATTGCAGCAGGGGGTGTGGTTTTGTTTCCAACACATCCCATCTATGAAATGGTAACTACAGTAGTAACTTATAATATATTAAGGAAAGGAATAATAAAACAAATGTAATCATTTTTTTAAATTTTTTTTTTTAGCACACAATCCAAACGGAGTGACTTGGAGAGACTTTCTTTGAAGACTGGCAGGGAGGCTGATAGCAGGCAGGCAGTGCAAGAGGTACTCAAGCAACCAGTGTCGAACATGCAACAAAGACAACAGTAGCATTAAAGTCTAGGCATGGTGCAAATATAAGCTGGAAAGCACTTCAAACTCTTCTTTATGATGGTTTTCTTTTGTGCTCTGGGAGACATCCCGTGGCACCTGAAGTCGCAATTTCCCTCCCAACCCTACACATTCATCATGTCATCGGCATTGGAACATTTCCACATTTCGACGGAGAAGTGCAGCAGTGAAATAGGTCAGGCAGAGGATGTTACAAATAGGTGAAGTAGGAATACTCGAAATGTTAACTTGCATGCCTTGCGTCAGCAGTGCATTCTATAAATGTGCTCTAACGCCAATTGTAATTTATTGCATGTTTTTCTGTCGGGCCATTGTTGAATACGATTAGTCTTTAAAGGCATGGGCATTTTCCGCCCCGTAGTGCATACCAATATATACTGGATACACCAGGCCCTCCGTAGGATATCAGGAAAATCACGGAAACTTTCCGTACACAGATTGTCTGTGGTGTTTCTGTACTATGGTACGGAAGTGGGTACAGAATTTCTGTACTTTCACCGTACTCAGGTACGGTGAAAGTACAGACCCTCCGGGTAATTAATTGACCTGACATTTTCCGTGGTCTTTTCCGTGGTTTTTTCTGGCAGTGAATAATGTTGAAATTGGACAAATTTTAATCAAAATGTCACTTATCTGCAAGATAGTCATTATACCACTTAGGAAAAGTACACGATTACTCGCATCGTAATAGACGGACCCTAATGAGGAAAAAAGTTCGGTTTAAGATCTGAGGACCTCGGTCCGGTCGTCAGGTGGCATCAGATGCAATGACCCACATACGCCCTGAACAATTTGCTCTTACCCAATTTGAATCGTTTATTTCCTCTTTAAGGGTCGCGTTTCCTGTGAGAGTCTGCCTCTCGAAGGGCTTAGCGGGATTGAAGTGGCTGACTCGCACGTTGTACACGAAGGTGCCGTCTGCTGAAGGGCATGCGTCGAACCGATGCGCATACGCTATACGGTCCCTGTGGCAAGGAAAGCACTCTGAAACCTTAGTGTACGTACAGAATCAGGCGCGGATCCATGATTTTTATGGGGGAAATGCAGCGATTTTTCGACGCGTCCTACTAGAATAATCCTAACTGTCACAGCAGATCCAAGACAATCCTGCGATGAAAACATTTCGATGAAAACATTAGCCCTTGGGTTTCCGGGAGTAAAATTTAGTTCTCCATCGAACTTACTCCGCACGGATGTTGTATTTCAATTCCTTTGTACAGTTTTCACAACTTTCATGCAAAACTTTGGCAAAAGTTTGACATTTTTGTTTTAAATTCTTTGTTATTTTCTAAAAATTATTTTCAGGTTTGCTAGAACATTTGTTTCAAGTAACTTTTGTCGGATATGCTTTAAAAAACACAGAAAAATGCTGGATTAAAAAAAATATCGTCACAAGGTACTTTTAGGGCACGCCTATGGTTAATTCGTATGGTTTTTTTGTGAAACCCAGAGCACTTTCAGCCCTCAAATTCCCAAATACACGTTCTTGTCAGTTTTCCTCTTCAGAACATAAAACAAAGGTCATCATACAGCCAAATGCCAGCATCTAGAAATTTACATTTTCCGTGGGGTCACCCTCTTAAAATTACTTAAAACTGCCTCCTAAAAAAAATTAACGGAAATGGACTTAAGCCCCCTTTTTCCGAAAAGCAGTGAAGTTTTCACTTGGTTAAGAATCTCAGCTTGCAGAGGGCGCGAATTTTGTTCAGGATTTCAGACACGTTTCTAACACAGACTAAATTTA